GCATGTGTTGAAAGGTCTACTTAAACTACACGATATATTCGAAATATTTTTTGGTTTTTTGAGACAGGGTCTCACTACGTAGTTGAGATTGACCTGGAACTCACTATGTAGCCCAGGCTGGTCTCGAACTCACAGCGATCCTCCTGCCTCAGCCTCCCGAGTGCTGGCATTACAGGCGTGTGCACGGCTCCACAGACATTTTTACATTTTTTTTTTTCTGGTGTTGGGGATTGACTCAAGGGCCTTATGTGTGCTAAGCATGTACTCTACTATTGAGCTATACTCCTAGTCCCATTTTTTTGTTTGTTTTTTGTTTTTTTTGTTTTTTTTTTTTCACCAGGGATCCAACTCGGGTCCTTGCACTTTCGAGGCAAGTGGCAGAACCACTGAGCTAAATCCCTGGCCCTCCCCATTTTTTTGTTTGTTTGTTTTTTGTTTTCCTCTCCCTTGGTTTTTATAAAAATCAGTAGCCCTCATTTAGTGGGACAGAACCTCAACTCTGCATGAATTGTTCTACATTCTTTTTTTTTTTTTTGGTACTGGGGAACGCACTCAGGACCTTGTGCTTGTGAGGCAGGCGCAGCCACTGAGCTAGATCCCCAGCCCCTACATTCTTTATTTTATTCCTGAGAATTAGTAATCACACATAATTTTTCTGATGTTCATTCTAATGGAGAAAAACAATAAAACTCTCTACTATACTATTCTAAAATCTCCTTTGTAAGAACTACCTAGAGATAGTCTATGAATTAAAATATACATTTATTTAGTAGCTGGAATGGATAAGAATCAAACACATTTGGGAGGGGTGTTGAGACAAGGTCTCACTACTTAGTCCAAACTGACTTCAAATTTGCCATCATCCTGCCTCAGCCTTCCAAGTGCTGGGATTACAGATGTGCATCACCACATCAGGAATTTACACTTAGGAAGATAAGTACAGAACATATTCTTTGGGGCAGACCAAAACTAAGGAGAGAAGGACTGGTGGCGTCCCCCTGTAATCGGTTACATGAGAGTGAGGCAGGCTGAAGCAGGTTGAGGCAAGAGAAATGGCAACTTCAAGGCCAGCCAGGGCAATTTAGCAATACACTGTTTTAAAAAAGAAAGAGGGTTGGGGATTTAGGTCAATGATTTAGGCCGTGCCTACCTGGCAAGCACAAGGTCGAGTTTGAGTCCCGGTACCAAAAAAGAAAGAAAGAAAGAGAAGAAGAAATAATGAGGAATAGTCAGGTCCAAAATGTGGCTGTGAGGGCCAGAGGTTTGGCTCAGTGGTTCCGCTGCCTCCTTCGCAAGCCTAAGGGCCCCAGTTCAATCCCCGGTGGGGGGGAAAATGCAGCTGTGACAATACCTGGTTGTAGAAGAATAAAAGTGATCATTGGCATTGAGAAGTCCAAGGATACAGGTATTAGAAAAATCCATCACGGGCATGACCCAATATAACAGCAGTGGCAGGGATTGGGCCAGATGGCTAAAATTACTAAAGAACACAGGAGACTGCTTTGGAGGCTAGTAGATGGAAAAAATACAAAATAGAGTGCCATGTTATTACTAAAACACTGAAAGGCATAGGACATATACCAATATACCTATCTGATTTTAGATTTTCAAATCTATTTCTCTATTTTACAAATAAGAATGGTAGCACGGATGACATGTAGAGAGAATACTGTAATGTGATGTTACCTAATTAGTACTTGAAAGTACTTTGCAAACACCATAGACAATATACAACTTATCTGGTCTCTACTATATTGTGATGCAATACTGAAAGTATTTATACTGGAGTTTACATGGCATAGTAATACATGTTCATTATTTATTAGAGTTTTATTATAGACTAAGTGGAATAGTTTGAGGAGTGTTTCTGCATAGCCTTCCGCTATCTTTTAAACCAAGCCACAAATAGCGGCCAAAATGTTTTCTAAAATAAAAATGGAGAAAGTATGTGGTATAGTCTGGATGCGTAGAAGCTGTGGAGCCAGAAAAATCTGCTTTCCTAACCATGCTGACGTTACTAACCACGGGAATGATCGTTCCGCACAACGGTCCCTCCATTGCTCCAACCAGGGTAAACCCCCCTGAAAATGGTCAAAGGAAACAAGCAGACGTCTGCATTGCAACTTGTCCCAGTCACTCTTTCTACAAAATATCCTAACGGATACGGCTGACACGTCTTTGCTTTAATTTTTTTTAACAGTCACGTGGGTTTTTAATGTATGATCGAAGCCTACACGCTCTCCTTCTTCCAGCTCACCTAGTAACCCCAATTCCGAGGTAAAGGTGGAGAGCCGGGAGAGACCCGGAAGAAGAATCCGCCCTTCCGCCTCCTTCTGACCAATGGCTTCGGGCTCGGGTTTCCATAGCCTGGGCGGGCAGGGCCCATTCTCTCAGCAAGGCCAGGTCAGGGCGAGATGGAGGTCGCGCGTGCGCAGTGGCGTTAGCTGCTCTTCCGGTGCGCCCGGCGCAGAGGCTGTGCGGACGGGGAGGGGGTACGCACCCACGCACGGACGTCCTACTTCATTTGCGCCGGCCGCGGCAGCTCCCGCGTACACCAGCAGCGCTGTCTCTGCTGTCGACATGCTACGGGCCTGTCAGTTGTCCGGCGTGACCGCTGCCGCCCAGGTGAGCGCGGGGGATCCCGGAGAGAGCGCGGGAGGAAAGCTGTCTCGGGGCACCCAAGAGAAAATAGGGAAGGCTTTGGCGCTGTCTAGGCCCGGGGGCCAAAGGCGTTTGTCGGAGGAGCGCGGGGCGGCCCAGGGAAGCTGCCCACGCGGGAGTTCGCTGGGCTGGGATGACTTGAGGGTTACTGCTGAAGCGGGCTGGGCTGTAGAGAGGTAGCGGGGAGACGGCGCGGGGCGGGAGGCGCGGCCTTGAGGACTTGTCATCCAGTCAGCACCGCGCTGCCCGCGGCGAGCACCAATCCTGACTGATGTCTTCCGAGCCGCCGGTTGGGCGCGTGAAGAGTTTCCAATGGTGAAGGTCGTGGCGTGAGAACTGTATTTCCCAGCAGGACGCGCGTATCCGCAGCTTGTTGCATCTTTACTGAGGAGGTGCCTGGACTGCTTGAGAGAGTCGGCGTTTTAGGGGTCAAGGTTATAATTAACTGGGTGGGGCTTTCTTTTCGTAGCTGTGAATATATTTGCTCTATTTTAACTCTAACAAGCAAAAATATTTTTCTTTTATGGAGCTTAAACTCGTGGTACTTGAAGCAGGACAGGTGGCATGACCTTGTGTTCATCTGTGAAATTAGCCTGAGGATCTGTGTCTCCTGGCACTGGAACAACTGTGGCTGACATTCAAGGAGGCATCTAGACACCTAGTTTTTTTGTTGTTTTAATCTTGCATAACTGTCAAAAATAACTTTCTAAAATTGACAATAGATCTATTTTACATTGCTTGTGATTTTTAGAATATTTATATTTTGGCACAGTGTTGTATTGCAAAACAGTGACTCGAGAAGTATTTTTTTTCCACGTTTGCTTCTCTATTCATTACTAGAGTAGGAGAATCACCCTCTTCCATAGAAAATGAGACCCATACTGGTTTTCTGTTGCTATGTAATGAGTACCTTACATTTAGGAGCTTAAAACAGTGCTCATTGATTATTTTACAGTTTGTGTAGGGCAGAAGGCTAAACATGAATGTGTAGGTTCTCTGCTCAGAGTTACACAAGGCTGCAAACAAAAGTATTAGCCATGCTGTGATTCTTGTTTGGAAATGAAGGTCTTTGTCCAAGCTCATGTAATTCCTGTAGAATTGAAGTACCGGTCTTATTGCTGGCTGTCGGCCACTGCTCCCAGCTTCCTGAGGCTGCCAGCAGTTTCTTGCCACAAGGCCCCCAGAAATCATTCTAACATAAATGATTGCTTTCTTGCAGGCTATCAGGAGCTAGCCTCTCACTTCAGAATCTCTTCCCTATCTTTGATCTCTAGACAAAAGATTAAAAAGATTTAATAAATGTGATTATGCTACATTGGTCTGTTCTCACTGTCTCAGTCATTCTATAGCGTTTGATATTGCTGCTTCATAAAACTTGTTACATTTTGGCTTTTCTCAGTATCTTGAACCCTGTCTTATCCTTTTTCTGTCTCATTTTCTGTTGCTGAGTCTGCTTTTTTACCTCTAAATATACCTTCTCATCTTTATATATACTTTTAGCTAGGATTCGATCAACTCAGAATTTAACCCCTAGCCAGAGATGGCTCTCTAATCTCTTTTTAGCTTTGTACTTATATTTCTGGTTTTGTCTTTTTTTTTTTTTTTTTTTTTTTTAAAATGAAACAGTGTCTTGCTATGTACCCTAGGCTGACAGGACCTTTTACTTGCAGTCCTCTTGCCTCAGTGCTGAGATTAGATGTATGCATGCCACCCTCCCAGCTTGTGCTTGAATTTTTAAAATTCTTGATTTTATTTTATTATCGTATTTATTTTTTATTTTTTTGGTGCTGGGAATCAAACTCAGGGCCTCATGTTTGCTAGGCATTGCACCACTGAACTACATCTTCAGCCCTCTTGTTTGATTTAAGTTATGCAGATTATTCCATTTCATCAGATTCCATCTTTAAATGTCTTTCCTGCCTTTACTATTTTTCAAAGACAGTTGTTTATATAGTGGCTAGTAAATGCTTTTTATTATTTACTTACTTTGGGGTTTTGTGGGGGGTTGGTTTGTTTTTGTTTTTTGAGACAGGGTTTTGCTTATGTAGTACAGGTTGGCCTTGATCTCACTATGTAGCTCAAGCTGGTTCTGAACTTGCAATCATCCTCCTGCCTCAACCTCCAGAGTACTGGAGTTACAGATGTGTGCCACCATTCATGGATTGTCTTTTTTTGGTTTGGTTTTTTGAGACAGGGCCTTGCTATATAGGGTCAGGCTGTCCTTGAATTAAATATGTAGCCCAGGCTGGCCTCAAATTTTCAGTGATGCTCCTGCCTCAGCCTCCCAAGTGCTGGAATTACAGGCATGGGCACCACCCCTGGCTTTAATTAAGTCTTTTAAAAAATACATATCATGTCATGCTTTTCAGTGACATCTCATCACATTAGGAATAAAATCTAAACTTCTTACCATACCACCAGGCCCTTTATTTTTGTTGTTGTTTTTTTTGGTACTGGGGATCGAACTTGGGTCCTTGCGCTTGCAAGGCAGGCCACCGAACCGCTAAGCTAAATCCCCGGCCCTGCCACCAGGCCCTTTATGATCTGACTTTTCATATCTCATCTATTCTGCCTTACTCTGTTCTTCTGGTATCTCAGGATATGCCTTACTGCATTTTTATTTGGCATTTAACTTCCCACACATTTTTGCTGAGTTCATTCCCTTCATGCAGGTGTTTTCTCAAATATAACCTGCCTTTCAGAAAGGCTTTATCTAACAAAGACTTAAGGCTACTCTCCCCATCCTTGTATCACTCTGTCTTTACCCTAATCATGCTGTTTTTCTTTGTAGATTTTAGTACTGACATAATGTTGTGTCATAAATATTGTGTGGTTCCCACATTTTAGATATGTGCTTCAAAAGGAACTGTGTCCATGTTGTTCATGTCTATGTTTGCAGTACTGACAGTCCCTTATTCCTAGTAGATGCTCAACTAGGAGCATGTTTGTAATGTGTTTTAATGACAGAATGAGTGTGTTCTGTGAATTTTTCTTAATCTCTCTAGGTGCATATGACCTCCCTTTAAGCCCTCCATAGATTTTAGTACCTCTGATGGTATATTACTCAGGGTTCTCCAGAGAAACAGAACTGGTGGGATTTATTATAAGTTATGGAGGTTGCCAAGTCTGAGATCTGCAGTGTGGGCTGGCACACTCAAGGCCCCTGAGAGCCAGTGCTGCAGTTTCAGTCTAGGGGTCAGTAGCCTGGAGACTTGGAAGAGCAGCTGGAACACTTTCTGTCTGAAGGCAGTGTGCTGGAGAATTCCTTGTTTCTTTTTGTATTCAGTTTTTCATCTGATTGGATGGAATCACATTATACAGGGCAATTTGGTGTACTCACAGTTCACCAGTTTAAATTTTAATCGTATCCAAAACAGCTGCCAGCTTGACACAGAATTAACTACCACAGATAGTATTTACTTATTCTTTAAATCTGGGTTCATCACTTGGAATTCCCTCCATATTGAGTAAAAAATGAATTGTTCTTATTCTTTTTCCAGAAATGTGCTGCAGAACTGTGATCCTCCCTGGGTTTGTTTCAGTGTCCTAACACTTTTTTCTTCTCTTAGACCCAGTACTGCATCACCAGGCCCAATCTTTTTGAGGTAGGCATTGGGTTTGGAGGACTTGGGCTTTCAACCTCGCCTAACCTTCTAGACTACAGACTTGGAAGTGTCATTTGCATGTGTAGTATACTTTCTACTTGTACCTTGAAAGGAGAGGAGAAACATTGTTCCTGAAGGTCAACTAAACAAGCCTATTTAACTAAAGATTGAGTTTGATAGCCTGGTTAATTTAGGATTACATTCTGCTGTGGGGGGAGGGTAGGCTTCCAACCACATGTGCTAGCAATTAGTTTAGTAGTTTATGCAGCCTGCTATTTGCAACTATTTTATTCCTCATTTTCGTATCTCTAGATCAGTAGCTTTGACACCATTTGGAAATACATTTTATATAATTCAGTATACTTAAGTGAGAACATATAAAATATATTCACACATATTTACAGACAAATCTAAAGAACTATGAAGTTTGTTCTTTTGCTGACTGATTAGCATCTGCCATTTCAATAACAAGAACACATTTTCTCTTAAATATAGAATATGTTTACATGGAGAGGTAATGCTATATTAGTATCAAACATCCTGGAATTTTGTGGGATATGCTTTTTAACCTAAGTGCATGCTTCTTATAAAAGATGTTAGTAGAAAAAATTATAGTGTTGCATGTGAATCTATTTCAAATGTAGAAATGGCCATCAACTTTGGGTGTCTTGTTTTTGTGAAAGGAATCTTTATAAAATCCACTAAACTGTCAGTTATAGCAATCAGCAAAATTGAGAATCTCCAAATAGGGTTCATATGAGGAGACTTATAGCCTCCATTTCCAGGTTATAATGCTGGATTATGGTTTTTTTTGTATGTTCATTTTAGTTTGGTAGAACTAGGGAATGGATGGTCTGTACGAGAACAATACATGAGAGCTTGATTTTTTTTCATGCTTTTTTTTTGCTTGTTAAAATTATGTTTCTGCAGGTTAGAAGCAGCAGTGCTAACCTTACAACATTGTTAAGGCAAATTGCTTTGAAACAGTATTGTCCTTTCTACACCATAGGTCATTATTAATAAAAAATGATTCCAGAACCAAGAAGTGGATAATATTTTGTGCATTAAAGTTGGATATTTAGGTTATATATAATTAAGTAGAGGACTCTGAAGGCTTACTTGGCATTTGGCAGTGACTTCTTACATATGACAACAAAGTATAAGCAACAAAAGATAAAACCTCGTCAAAATTTAAGACTTGTGCATCAAAGAACAATGAAAAGAATGAAAAGAGGGCTGGGGATTTAGCTCAGTGGTTCCACTGCCTGCCTCTCAAGTGCAAGAACCCAAGTTTGATCCCTGGTACCAAAAAAAAAAAAAAAAAAAAAAAAAAAAAAAAAAAAAAAAATTTTCAAA